TAATCAAAAATTAGGTTTTGATATATTTACGGTAGGAAATTTACAAAATATCTTCATGGAACATGATCTTTTCTTAATATTCTAATGATTTTTGTCATAAAAGAAAAATCTATAATTTTGAGCCATACAATGTATTTTTGGCTATTTCTACAAATATACCCCAGCGACTTAAGACTGCTTTTGTGCTCCAGGGTCACATATTATAATATTATCATACCGCAAACGTGATAAAATGCCCATTTAAAACAAATAAACAACTCTTGCTCTAAAATCTGATTGGATGAGGCATGTCTGAAGCCGATATACTCACACCTGTAACTTTAATACAATGTTAATGTGCCAAGTTTGCTGGCGACTATAACCAACCTAAAGTCAAGCTGACTATTTTACAGGGAATGTGATGTTTAATGTGATTAACACTGCTGTACTACACATTGCTATTTTGTTGCCTATTGCTTTAGTAAATGAATATAACACATGCTAACTTTGAGTTGATGCAGATGACAAGGTTTGGGTCTTCAACGATTCCAGGGTTGTTGACAAAGTCTTGATACTTCACAAGATGCTCCATGAACTTCTCTGCAGCACATGCAAAAAAAAACAAAAAACAGGAAGAGCCAAAGACGTTAGCTTAAATCATTTTTCTGTCCTCACTGGAAATAAAATGCTGCATGAAACAACAAAATCACAGCCAATCATAATATATTTGATGTTCAAGATATGGTTATTTGGAGCAGGAGTGTAGACCAATACGATTTCACAGTGGGCGGAGCTACAAAGCACACTGAGACAACGGCAAACCAACAAAATGTTGATGTTGTGAATGAACATGGTTGAGATTTATTGGTGTTTGTCTCATTCTTTACCTTTACTGATCTGACTGATGTCTCCTCTCCCACACAGAGACATGGTCACGTCCAGCGTGTCTGTGGTAGAGTCGGACAGATATTCAGTGCCGCTGTCTGCGTTAGTGCTGCCCAGTGACTGAGGAGACAGCTGACCCGAGGGAGGAGACGGATCCGGCCCATGAGTCGAGCGGAGATCTGACGACTCTGTCTCGCTGAAAACATAGAGAGACGGGAGTCAGTGTATCGTTTGGATCATCACAGCCATTCATTCTCAGGTGAGAATAATCATAACGCAAAAACAAAAATGAAAAAATATTTGTGATTTATAGATCACAAAACAACTTTGCATAAATATATAAAACACGTAAAATATTATTATCATCAATAATAATGATAACAACAGATTTGGCCAATATTATGCTTTATATATATATTTTTTATTATTATTAATGAATATTATATTTGTATTGTTATAGTCCTAGAATCATTCAGTCATTTTGTCAAAAAGCTGAGATAAAACAACTAAAACAACTAAATTATTTTATTTTATTTTTACTGTTATTTTGCTACTATTATTATTATTATTATTAATAATAATAATATACTTAATGAATATTATATTTTATTGCTGTAGTCCTACAATCAATCAGTTATTGTGTCAAAAAGCAGAGAAAAAACAACTAGAATAAAATAGTTTTATTTTATTTTTATTATTAATTTGCTATTAATAATAATAATAATACACTCAATTAATATATTTTTTTTGTTGTTGTTGTAATCATTTAGTGATTGTGTCAAATATCAGAAATAAAACAAACAAATAAAACAATAAAAACATTTTTTGTTTTTTTTGTTTAATTTATTTAAAGGGGTCATATGATGCGATTTCAAGTTTTCCTTTCTCTTTGGAGTGTTACAAGCACTTGGTGCATAAAGAAGATCTGTAAAGTTGCAAAGACTAAAGTCTCAAATCCAAAGAGATATTCTTTATAAAAGTTAAGAGTCAACAACACCTACCTAAAACGCCTCGTTCTAACACGCCCCCACATATCTACATCACTATGTGGAAATATTAGCATAATACCGCCCAAATGTGCACGCAAAGAAAGAAGGCGTGGTTTCAGGAACAGCAGTAGTGTTGATGCAGCATGTCAGGGAGACGCTGTGTGTTTCAGTGCTAAAGCAAAAGCACTTTATTTGGCCTTCCGGAAGTAGATGCAATTAGGAATCATTGGTTAAGATTTATTTACAACAGAACAGCACAACCCAGATGTTCGAATTTGTGCAACGCATTTTATGGACGACAGTTTTTTGAACCTAGAAGAGTACAAGGCTGGCTGTGCACAAAGGCTATTTCTACAAATAAAAAAAAGGGTCAATTCCTACTTTGCTATGACAATCTACAATAATGTACAGTATTTGAAAAATAATGTGTTTTTTGAACATTAAAGCATGTCAACATATTCTGTTACACCAAATACACAAAATAATGATCTTTAAAATAGCATCATATGACCCCTTTAAAATAAATCGGTTCAGCATGTTGGATAATAAAGCTTCTAACCTCTTTGGAAAATAGAGGGCAGCAGCTTCAGGGTCAAGCCTGGAGAGATCGTCTAGATAGATATCAGATGGTCCCAAATGATGATTCCGCTTGACTAGGAAAAAGAACAATTACAGTTCAAATCATTTTCAACGCTGAATTACTGCATTGGAATAAGTACAGATAACGTAAACACTACCTTTCTTCTTGTCCTGAGAGACTGTCGCTTTCGAGGTCTCAAGAAGCACCGGATCCTCTGATTTGATGATGGACTCCAGAGCTGGTGTCACTCCAGCACTGTCAGCATTCTGATTGGTCTGTGAAGTCTCTAATCCCGCCCCCTCCTCTGAGCCTCCCACAGAGTGATTGACGGTGATTGTGTCCGCTGAGTTGACCTCTGTTTCTGCTTCTATAACCGTATTTGTTTCAGTCTCACCGAATGTGACGGTTTGGATTTTGGAGGCGACCGAGACATTATTCTCATCACCGGTTTCTTGGCTTTCTACATGAAACACGGTGTCTGAACTAGCTGCACTGCTGACAGCACTGGTCCCATGCATTGTGTTAGTAGAGCTGGTTATATTACACGTCTGAGTGTCACTGTCTGTGCTGCTAACACTGAAGTCTTTGGTCTCTTTGTTTTCCAGTGCAGTCCAGGCCTGTGGGAAGGAGTCGTCTGCGGACTGAAAGGTCACTACATGCGTTTCGGTGACCTTGACGTCTAGTTGTGTGTTAACTGAAGAAGAAACAACTGTACGAGTGTCATCTGATGGAACAGGGCCGGTCGTACCAATCTGAGGTTCGGGTCTCACTACGGTCACCGTCGCTGCAGAGTCAGTGCTCTCCATGTCAATGGATGCTTGTCGATGGATCGTGCGGAAGTGGGAGTGGTCAGAGGGCATGATGGGCGGGTCTCGCAGCGAATCAGATTCATCCCTCTCCGCCTGACACACCTACACAAGCAGAAGAAACCCTGAGTGAGCTGCGTTGTGCCCTTATAAGGCAGCATCCTAATGAAATGGAACCTCGTACACTACTGTTCCAAAGTTTGGGGTCGGAAAGATTATTTTAAATGATTTTGAAAGAAGTCTCTTCTGATTACCAAAGCAATATTGTGAAATATTATTGCAATTTAAAATAACTATTTTCTATGTGAATATCTATTAAAATGTAATTGATTTCTGTGATCAAATCTGAATTTTGAAACCAGTCTTCAGTGTCACATGATCTTCAGAAATCATTCTAATATGCTGATTTGCTGCTCAAGAAACATTTCTGATTATTATCAATGTTGAAAAAAAAAAAGATTTTATAATTTTGTGGAATTGAGATAAATATTTTCCCAGGATTCTTTGATGAAATGAACAGCTTTTATTTGAAACAGAAATGTTTAGTAATATGTCTTTAATGTCACTTTTGATCAATTTAATGCATTCTTGCTGAATAAAACTATTCTTTTATTTTTTGTAAAATTCTTACTGACCATAAACTTTTTTTAAACCATAAAAAAGTTATTTTAAATACTGAAAAACTGAAATAAAATAAAATATAAAAAATGAAAACTTATTTTACTTCAGTTAGATGCCAAGGCATCATTTCTTATTTTCATTCAGTTTAACTTGATGTACTAAAATAACTAAAACTAAATAAACTAAAACTAATAAATAAAAATTAATAAAAAAACTATATAGACATATAAAAAAAAACTAATAAAAATTACAAAAACACAAAAAGACTAAAACTTTAAAATTAATGTGAAACAAAATATAAAAAGAAATTCTTACTCAAAATTTGAACAAAAACTTTAACAGTATATCAATGACAAACAGAGCTCAAATAGTCTAATAGCAAGTTAACAAGCACAGAAAATACTGTGAACACAAAACGACTGAACTTTTAATAGTCTATTTTCTATCAATAATAAATAAAACACTGAAAAAAAATCTCTAGCATCTTGGGTGTTTGTTTGTTTTTTGACTTGAGCTGAATGCAGTGCATTCTGGGATTGATACAAAAACTCCCACAGACTTCCACTGAATGAGGAACCCAAACTGGGTGGACTTTTTCACATCAGACAGTGAGTTTTGCACAAGCAAACATCACTCAAACGCTCTTCCGAAATTGTAATAATCTAGTTTTATAAAACGGAGAGTTCCGGTCCTTGATTCTGATTGGTTGAGCCGCATTCGAAGATGTTGTAAATTACTCTACAAACAAACACCTTTGTTTACTTCTGTGTGTTGCTCGACAACCACTTTGTTGGAACCACAACTGATTCTGAGGAACTACATTGTTTGGTGGAAGAATACTGTTTTTATTAATATCATTACACTTTATTTTCACTTTATTTCGCTTCGCGCCGTGCCTAACAATGCCCCTCAGCTGTTATAAATTCACTGTAAACCACGGCTTCTTGCTTTATTATAACAGCCTTGTTCAGAGCAGACATATGAAGTCTAAAAATACCGCCTAGGAAGGCAGCTCGCTTGATTTTGGAACATTCTGACATTCTGGAGTGACGTTATCCACGATGAAAGCTGTATGCATGCAGTATGCATTTACCTTGGGAAAAGCGCCCCAGTTCCACTGCATCTGAGGCCCTAGAGACTCCTGCGGCTTACACAACTCTGAATCACTCTTAGGAGGGGAGGGACGGCTGAAGAACACACTACAGACAGAGACAACACAAGTAGATATCCTTTAGATATCCATAATACCAGCAGAGAAAGAGAACATATGGGCCGAACTACACAGCTCAAAGATCTATAACTACCTCTCATTCACAGAACACTCTCCTTCAGAGTGAGGATGAACGTCTCTGTTCTGAGCTCCAGACGGTTCCTCGTAGAGTTCCTCCGACAGAGAGTAGTACACAGACTTACTGACGAGAGCAAAAACACAAACGTGACGGAACTTCTTAAAGGGACAGTTCGCCTAAATTATTTACAGTGAAAAACGGTAAATTGACATTTCCAGAAATCTCTGTAACCGTTTACATTTGATGGTTTTTCATTGAAATAACTCTTTCTTCTCATTATGTACTACACTAGGGTTTTATCCTACATCTTATGTTGTTAAATGAATGTTTAGTGCATTATTTTAGTGTCACGTGTTACCGTGATGGTGTATTGTATTTGTGTTTATGACTTCTATTTATTAGTATTTACCTCAACTTGTGGAAAAGTTATTTGTGATAAACTTTGTTAACGAAATATACAATTTATTTTACTGTAAATTTAAGTTTAATCTGTAAAACTTAAAATGTTGCTACCGTATTTTTTTACAGTACAGTTCTGGTAACCATTTTTAGCGTGTGAGATATTTTGAATGTTGGTAACCAAACAGTTGCTAGTAGCCACTGACTTCCATAGATCAGAACTGTCCTGTAAAAAATAAGATGACTTTACATTTACCAGCATTTTACTGTAAAATCACATGAAATGTCGCAACATTTTTAACTTTGCATATTTAATTTGGTTGCACCATTTGTTCTGAATGCAAAACGTAGCTAGTATGTTGCAAGCTCTATTAAAAGTAATGCGTAGTCGCATAATATGACGTTTACCAGCAATGATCCAATAATATATTCCAAATATTACTCCTAGTCGGAGGCGTCCATAAGTATTTAGTTTAGTACAGTTACGTTTCAACTAGGTTTAATGGTGCAATGCAAAAATATTTAGCCGTGCATAAGTTGTAACTGGCCCTCGTGAGCTAGAGCTTCGCCAACAATCTTTCAGACAATTTCAGAATTTTCTGGAAAAGTAAATGTACATTAACCTTAGTAAACCTCTAACCTTGCTGCCAAAAGCGACTCCTCCTTGAGGACATCCTGATCTAGACTTTCTTTCTCGTCTGAGGAGGAGCTGGCATCCTCATGCACATGCGTGTCTGAACGCGCCCGCTTTCTGCGGCGTTTTTTGCGGCGGTTGGAGGAAGATGCAGTGCTGGAGAGAGACTCGATCACCTCAGACACTTCTGGGACATCGGTGGGGATCGGAGAGGTGCAGAGGTGAGCGGGAACCCTCGTCTGAGACGGACACAGAGAGAGTATCATGAAAACCACAGCAGAACATTACAGGAGAGACTGGAGAACTCACATTCATCTGGACAGACCTCAAAATCCTCGTTCTCCTCCACGAAGAACGCCTCTCCGTTATCTCCCAGCTTCATATGCAGGCTCACAGGCTCTCCATTGATCTCAATATCCACCTGTGGAGGGACGAATACAGCGTTATACGACCTGAACGAGGAGCAGCATGTCTCAGGTTTGCTGGCTTAGAAATACGAATTCTAAAAACCAACCAACTAATGAGGGAAATAAGATTTTCTTCACTTATTTGAAATAGAAATGATTGAAACACTCAAGCCTAATTCATTATTCATGAGCTCATTAACATACAAACGCCCACATTTACATATCAACACAGATTCTGTACACAGAATGGAGTATGCTGATTCGCAGAGGTCTATTACATAAAGAATACTTAAAAATACAGATGCAAAAAAAAACAATTTAATTGTAATGGTTAGAGTAGAAATGGCCATGAAACACATCGTGCAACAAGATTTGACAAACATTATAAGTAAACATTAAGAAAATGCAATTAAAATAATATTTTTGAATGAAAATGTGCATTAAATTTGCTGTAAAATAAAATAAAATGTTAAATTAAATTAAGTTCAGTTATGTTAAATGAAATTTCATTGCTAATAAATCAAAATATGACTGCCATTAAATTATTAAAAAATATATAAGATTTAAACTGTTAAATTAAGTTTAATTCAATTCAATATAATTAAGCTAAATGAAATGCAATTGGTGTTGAATGAAAATATAACTGCATTAAATTTAAATAAAATAAATCATTAATAATTAATTATTATTAATTGAATAGCAGTCAAGTTTTCATTTAACAGCAATGGCATTTTAACTTAATTAAATTTACTTTAATTAAACAATTTAATTTATCATTTAAAATGTTGTTATTTTACAGCAAACTTAATGGCAGACCTATTTTCATTTAACAGCAGTGGAATTTTATTTAACTTAATTGAACAATTTAATTTGACAGCAAATTTAATGCAATGCATATTTTTTATTTAGCAGTATTATTTTACAAGTTAAGTGAAACGTAATTGCTGTTGAATGAAAATATGATTAAATTTGCTGTAAAATAAAAATGAATTAACTAAAGTTAAATTTAATTAGGTTAAAATTCCACTGCTGTTAAATGAAATATGACTGCCATTCAATTTGCTGTAAAATAAAAAAAATAACTAAAGTTAAATTTAATTAGGTTAAAATTCCACTGCTGTTAAATTATAATATGACAGCCATTAAATTTGCTGTAAAAAAAAGTTACATTTAATTCAGTTAAATGTAATGCCACAGCTGTTAAATGAAAACTTGACAGTCATCACGATCTAACAAAATGTGTTTCCCATGTTTTACATTTTTAATAGTCATAAATCTGATAAAATGTGCTAGCCATGTTTTTGACACATTTATGAAAGCACTTGCACATCCTAGTAACTATTTCCTGCTAACAAGATGTTCTACCCATGCTCTAGTGTTTAAGTTTGGTTAGTTCTGAGAAAGAGGAACATTCTGTCAGACAAGCATGACAGCTTTAACTAATTGGTTGCTCAATCTGAGCGGGACAGATCATAAACACAGCTGTCACATAACAACTAACTTGAACTAATAACTAGTGACTGATGGTAGGTAACTTCAGTTTAACACATTTCCACCTCACCACTTTCTCTTTGGACCGCAGGACTCCGAGTTTCCCGAAGCGCACGTGAAACGGCGAGCACTGGTAGCTGCCATCAGGCTGGCGAACCACAATGACGTCGATGCCGCCGGTGAGCGTGGCCGGATTCAGACCGCGATACAGTTCCTTCACGGTCACAAACACCGTCTCTGCCAGCTGACCCACGTAGTTCATGGTCTGGGACTGAAGAGACAAAGAATACAAATGTGCGATTTAGATAATATTTGTCCTGATGTCCCTTAAGATGTTCCTGAGACTTAAAGTACAACTGTGACCTTTGCACACGGAGCAAAAGTCAGACAGTGCGCAACATCTCAACTTTATCATCATGACATGTTGGCAGATTTGAAGTCATGCCAAAACCTAGACCGCCTACATTTGTAAAACTGGATTTGGCGTAATATAAAAATGACAAATACATAATAAGCAATACTGTCAGGTGTGTTACCACACTAGAATAAGTGTGTTTGTTTCACATCGCTTTGGTGTATTAGTGGAGCAAGTTACTTTTTCTTTAGAATAACCTGCACTGATGAATCATTCACAATAAGAGCAGTCCAGGAATTAAGGAGAAGGTTAATAGGGTGAAATATGATTTGATGTTGACATTAAGAAACACCTGAACATGTTGCAACCTCTCCTTTTTCCTACAAGCTCCCAGTGGTCTGACATCACGGTTAGTCTGAGGACGACATAGCTGGTTAAATATATATATTAAGTAAAATGCTATCCACAGGATCAACTTAAAGAGATTTCTGGCATTAATCTAAAATATAGCCTTATAAAAAGTGTAAATCTAGCCTTATAATGTGTCAACCTAAGGAAAAATGTTGCATAGGAAATACTTTGCACAGTCAACATAATAAACAGAGAACACTATCGCCATGACACATCTATGACCCGACCTGACCTTTTGATTTGATTACTTCTGCTTACTGTCCCTATGTCCTCTACTACTTTACTCTCTATTCCAATTGGTCTCTGGAACTGCCAGACTGCTGTAAACAAAGCAGACTTTATTTCATCTATTGCTGCTCATTCAAGTCTCAACCTCATGGTAACTGAGACCTGGATCAAACCTGAGGACACTGCCACTCCTGCAGCCCTCTCCACTAATTTCACTTTTTCCCACACCCCTCACCCAATTGGGAGGGGTGGAGGTACTGGTCTACTTATCTCAAATGAATGGAAATTTGATCCTCTACCATCTCTTACTGGCATCAGTTCATTTCAATCACACGCAATTACTATTACCCACCCTGTTCAAATCCACTTTGTAGTTATTTATCGACCCCCAACTCAACTGGGTAACTTCTTGGAGGAGTTGGATGTGTTACTCTCAAACTTCCCTGATGACGGTACTCATCTGCAACTACTCAGTGACTTCAACATCCAACCAGAAAAGCCCCAGGCTGCTGACTTCAACACTCTGCTTGCCTCATTCGACCTCAAGCGAGTGTCTACTATGACTACTCACAAATCAGCTAACTGACTAGACCTTATCTACACACACTACTGCGCCACTGACAACACTTTAGTTACTCCGTTGCACACCTCAGACCACTTCCTCATCACTTCTAACCTCAGACTGACTCCGGACACAACACACACTCCTCCGCAGGTCACCTTTCGGCGTAACCTACGCTCACACTCTCCCTCTCGCCTATCCTCTATGGTTTCATCCTCACTTCCTCCACCCTCTCAGTTTTCAGCACTGGACACTAATACTGCTACTGACTTTGCTCCA